TGCCCAGGGGGACAGCTTGAGGCTCCGTCTCAAAAAAAAAAAAAAGTTACGTTTCTTCAGTCGCATTACATATATTAAGCACTTACGATGTTTCAGGCACTCTGCTAAATGCTGTTACTTGTCCAAAGCCACTAATAGTAGGTAGCAGAGTCAGGATTAAACCCAGGTCTTTCTGCTATCAACACTTCGGCAGATTTCATGCATCCATGATTATCAAACTTCTTAGAAACAAAATCTTACAAAGAATTCCAATATGTGAAGAGGAAAAAAGCAGACTTGGGGCGGCACCTGTGGCTCAAAAGGGTAGGGCGCTGGCCCCATATGCTGGAGGTGGTGGGTTCAAACCCAGCCCCAGCCAAAAACAGCAAAAAAAAAAAAAAAAGATTTCTTAAAAAAAAAAAAAGCAGACTTGCTCTGGGTATAATGAAATTGCAATGTCCTGAGCTCTACCTACTTTGCCCTCTCCTTTCTCATCTGTCACCTAAAAGAACCTGTCTAAAGTCCTGATGAACCACCATGACCGGAAGGAGCACAGGTGGGAAACCATGCCATGCTTCCATCCATGATTTTTGACAAATGTACACATCTGTGTAACCCAAATTCCTACCCACATATATGACATTACATTACACAGTGTATGTGGCTGGTGGGTTTGAACCCGGCCCGAGCCTGGTAAACAACAATGACAACAACAACAACAACAAAAATAGCTGGGCATTGTGGTGGGCGCCTATAGTCCCAGCTATCTGGGAGGCTGAGGCAAGAGAATTGCTGAAGCCCAAGAGTTTGAGGTTGCTGTGAGCTATGACTCCATTGCACTCTACTGAGGGTGACATAGTAAGACTCTGTCTCAAAAAAAAAAGATATATGACATTACATTATCATCCCCACAGAAAACTCCTTCTGGGTCCTTCACAGTCACTTCCTGCCTCAACTTCTAAGAGGCAACCACTCTTTTTTTTTTTTTTTTTATCTTAACTACAGAGTAGCCTATTATGCATTTAATCTATTGTCATGTTACATATACGGAACCTCCAGAAAATTCCACTGAACATTCACGAGAAAATAGTGAAAACGCAAACAGCATCTTAGTATTATTATGAAAAAAGTTCTAACTTTGCAGTGGCAAAGGTCCCCAGAGGACTTTTGGAAAATCCTTGCCCTAGGGCCAGCCGGTGGCTCACACCTATAATCCTTGCACTCTGGGAGGCTGAGGCAGGTGGATTGCCTTGCCTAAGCTCACAGACCAGCCTGAGCAAGAACCAGACCCCATCTCTAAAAATAGTCAGACGTTGTGGCAGGGGCCTATAGTCCCAGCTACTTGGGAGGCTGAGGCAACAGACTCTCTTGAGCCCAAGAGTTTGAGGTTGCTGTGAGCTATGACACAATGTCACTCTACTCAGGGTGACAGAGTGAGACTCTGTCTCAAACAAAACAAAACAAAAACATACTAAAGACCACTGAAGTGTGGGCTTTAAAGCAATAGATTTGGGTCCAGGCATAGTAGCTAGTGCCTGCAACCCTAGCATTTTGGGAGGCTAAGATGGAAGAGCACTGCTTGAGACCAGCCTGAGCAATCATAGGTTAACTCTACAAAATAATTTTTAAACAATTATGGCTTGGCACCCGTAGCTCAGTGAGTAGGTCTCCTGCCACATATACCAAAGCTGGTCTGTTCCAGCCCGGCCCAGGCCTGCTGAACAACAGCGACAATTGTAACCAAAAAATAGCTGGGCATTGTGGCAGGTACCTGTGGTCCCAAGTACTTGGGAGGCTGAGGCAAGAGAATTGCTTAAACCCAAGAGTTTGGGGTTGTGAGCTGGGTCGCCACGGCACTCTACCGAGGGCGATATAGTACGATTCTGTCTCAAAAAAAAAAAACCCCAAATTAGCCAGGTATGATGGCGTGCCTGTGGTCTGAGCTACTTTAGAGGGTGAGGCAGGAGGATCACTAAGCCCAGGAGTTTGAGGTTGCAGTGAGCTATGATGTGTCCACTGCACTCTAGCCCAAGCAACAGAGCTAGACCCTGCCTCAAAAAAAAAAGGTAAATCATACATTATGTGAATTATATCAATAAAAAATTGCCAAAAGTTATCTCACTACATTGAACATAAATAACATTTTTAATTTAAAAACCCTCTTTTTCAAAGCATGACAAATTAGTGAAAAGAGTGACATGATTTTCATTTTGTTTTTCCTGCGACAAGAGTCTCATTCTGTCACCCTAGAATGCTAGAGTGCAGTGGCATCACTGTAGTTCACTGCAACCTGAAATTCCTGGGCTCAAGCAACCCTCCTGCCTCAGCTTACCAAGTAGCTGAGACTACTGGTCCAGTGGTAGTGTGCCACCACTCCTGGCTAAGTTTATATATATATATTTTTTTTTTTTTTAATTTTTAAGAACTCCTGAGCTCATGTAATCCTCCTGCTTTGGCCTCCCAGAGTGCTAGGATTATAGGCATAAGCCACCATACTTGGCTGTTTTACATTTTTACAGATCTAATATCTGACTTAAGAGAAAAATAACTGGATTTTCATTTCTGCTCCTGCATTCAGTTCATTGTGATATCACACAACCATATACTCAAGAAAGAATGCAAGGAAAAAGTCAAGTGGCATTTAAGTTTTGTATATATATATATATATATATATATTTTTTTTTTTTTTTTTTTTTTTTTTTTTTGAGGCAGAGCCTCAAACTGTCCCCCTGGGTAGAGTGCTGTGGCATCAAAGCTCATAGCAACCTCCAACTCCTGGGCTCAAGCGAGTCTCCTGCCTTAGCCTTCCAAGTAGCTGGGACCACAGGCGCCTGCCACAACGCCCAGCTATTTTTTGGTTGCAGCCATCATTGTTGTTTGGCGGGCCCGGGCTGAATTCGAGCCCGCCACCTTAGGTGTATGTGGCTGGCACCTTAGCTGCTTGAGCCACAGGCGCCAAGCCAAGTTTTATTAATAATATGAAAATGGTTTTGACCTTGCAGATCCCTTGAAAGTGCCTTAAAGGACCCCCAGAAGTGCCTAGACCACATTTTGAGAACCACTGGGTTTGGGAATTGGCAGTTTGTTTGCCCTTCTGAAAGAGCTATTCAGGTTTTCACATTTGTTGTCAATCGCCAGATATTTGGTAAAATATCTGCCAGAACTAGTGGAAAGAGCATGGATCAAGGAGATAGGAACCTGTATATAAACTGGCTGAGCCACTGCACTCAGCTAGTTCTCATACCAGGTCTCAAACTCCTGGCCTCAAGTGATCCTCCTGCTCTGGCCTTTCAGAGTGCTAGGATTACAGGTGTGAGCCACTGCACTCAGCCAGTTCCTATACTTGTATGTAACAGCCACATCAGCCAGGGCTGGGGTACTACCCAAAGGGACTCAGCTAGGGTCCTGCTTAGCTGGGGGAACAGTTTATGGGCAGCTATCAGTAGACGGTCCTTTCCTTAAGGCGCTGAAATCAGCTTTGGTCGCTGCTGCGCATGGGTTAATCAGTGTGTTCAAACTCCTGGGCTCAAGCCATCCTCTTGTCTCAGCCTCTAGAGCAGCTGGGATGACAGGCGCCAGCCTCATTGCCAGTGTAGTTTTAGAGATGGGGTCTCTCTCTTTTTCAGGCTGGTCTCCAACTCCTGATCTCAAGCAATTCACCAGCTTTGGCCTCCCAGAGTCCTAGAATTACAGGGTCTGTGTCACCATGCTCTGCCCTTTTAGTATGCTTAGTATGTTCACTATGTGGTGCAACCATCACCAGTATGGTTTTCATTACCACAAAGATAATGAAGTAGTAGTCCAAATTTTGTAGTAGTCCAAAATTTCCCAACTCCTCACCATCCCCTGGCAATCACTGACCTAGTTTGTCTCCATAGGTTTATTATTGTAATTTTAAGTGCATTTTTAAAAATTTGTTTTAATGCCTAATACATTAAATATGGATAGAAACTCATATAAACAAAAGACCTTTGCAGACCTCAATTTTTAAGACGCTAATGAAATCCCAAGGGCTAAAACTTCGAGAAACACTGATCTAATATTTGTTGTATTTTTTTCAATATGGTGAAAAATAATGTCTAAACCAGAGTTCTGTCCACCTGGAGTTCAAAAATGAAACAATCATTCCTGGCTAAGCTTCTATAAAGGATAGGGAACTACTTGATAGGCACTTGAACCTATAAGAACTCGCAACCATATCCACGGATGAAGTTGACTAATCCACAGACCAAGCATGATCTTAAACGCTCACTCCAATATGCTGAGTTCTAAGTTACAAAGAAAGGAACCTCTGAGCTGCTCTTCCAGGATCAGAAGTGCGACACAAAGGGACACAGAGTGGCCTTAGGCTCAACAAGAGATGAATGTAACATGACTGTCCACAATCCATCCTGTGAGCGTGGCCCAGATGTACAAAACTGACTAGACGTGACAGCACCGATGAATGGTACAAGTCCCACACTCCACAAAACGACCAGCTCTTCACAGAGGTGCCAAACGACTCCTGAGGCAAGTGAGTAGCACCACCAATCATTTAGAATAATCCCATTTCCAGGTAGCATCTCCCTAATTCATATAATCACTTCTTCTGCCGATTAAATACCAAAAATTATATTCAAGCGCAGGGAAATTTTTGCATAAATCGATAAGTGCCTTGAAAAGTCTCCACTTAGAACAAATCTACACCACGAAACCGTAAGTCTGAAAGTAAAAGGAGCCAGGGACCCGTTGGCGCTCAGCGGCCAGCCCAACCCGCATGGTCAACAAAGTCTCTGCCTCTGCTATTAGCTCCCCAACACAAGCCGGGCGGGTAATGGCGGCGGGGCCAAAGTGTGCGCATGCGTCCTCTACAGGGGACAATCTTTTCACCAGGATCCCGTAGGTGCGCACTAGAGGGCGGTATGGTCACCAGCCACAAGCGGGACTTCCGGCGGTGGCTAGTCGTGATTGGTGGAACTTAAGAGAGAGGGCGGGGCACCGGAGAATTCGAATGGAGAGGCGGGCCAAAGGAGGGGGGAGGAATGGATGTGGGGCGCTCGGCTCGTCCGAGGCGACGCGAGATGGCGGCGCCGATCTCAGGTACGCTATGCTGGCCTGGGCGAGGTAGGGCACCAATGTTTGGTGCCTTGTGGAGTAATGCGATAGAGTCTGGTCTGGGCTCCGTGGGTTGTCCAGGAGTGGCCAGAACAGCGCGGGGGAGAGGAGAAGGGGAGCATGGGGGGTAGCAAGCTTGTTAGTCCGCCTCGCCCTTTTCTTCTCATGGTTTCTTCCTCACCGCTAGGGTCAGTTAACCAGACCCTCCAGGCGCAGGCACTTGGTTTGATTCTGGCGTACTTTTCGTTTGTGAGGTTCAGTTTCTTCGTCTGTAAAATAGGAACAGTGACCCCATTCCTCAGGATTATTTGAGAAAGCAAGAGAAAAGTGGTTAACGCTCTAACCGTACAGTAAAGGGAAAGGAGCTGGGTGCAAGTGTCGGGGAAGGGTTCTGTGTATGACGTAGTGTTTGGGTGCGGCGAGTACCCTGAAATGCTGGAGGGCATGCTGAGATTCAAAGCTAAGTGTGAGTTGACAGCATAAGTTGCGCTGAGATCACAGAAAAGGGAAATAAGTGAAGGGACTGTTTCCTTTCACTCTAGCTGTGGAAGTGAGTGCTATTTTAGGGTTGGAACGGCTGTTAGGACCCTCAAAATCTTATATGTATTTGTTTACATGTGCCTCACCTCCTTAGACTGAATTCTGGTCAGTGATTTGAGCTAGTAGTTTGTCAGGCTCCATGGGGAAACCAACTTTTAGGCCTAAGTTTGTTGAGCCCTTACCAGGCACAGTTGTAAGCATTTTATGGCGATGAACCATTTAATGTCCACACAATGTTATACGGTGGTTACTGTTACAGTCTTTGAGGACACTGAGGCAAGGATGGGTTAAACAGATTACTAACCGTTGTTGTCCGTATTTGCCTTCAGTCAGTCTGATTCTAGAGTTTCCTTAAGCCTCTGCTCATGGTGTCGAAAGTACATTCTGTTTCTGCTAAGCACAATCTCCCCTCACCCTTTGGAGACCTGCTGTATCTGGTATACAGTGATATCATAAAAATGCTTGAGTGACTATTGTCCCTTCCCTAGTGAAGCTTACAGCCTGTTTCAATAGATAGTCACATAAATATATGTAATGTAATGAAGCACAATGAGAGACAGTACTAACTGGTATAGAAAGTGTAAAATCTGAACTACACTCTTGGCTATTCTGGGAGGACTTCATTAAGGGAATGATATTTTAAGTGGGTTTCAAAGGTTAGAGAGGAGTTTGCCAGGCTTTGGCTGAGAAGCACTGCAAGTGTTTGTTTTGGTTTTATAATTTTGAGAGGCTCAAGACACTCTCTTGGCTTAATTTCTTCATCAGTACAAAGAAGAGTTAAGCTGAATGAAATGTGGCGATTGTGGGAAAGGGGAAAATTAGAAATAAGGGCTAGCCTCGCCCAACCTTGGGATGGTTTTTTGTTGTTGTTGAGACAGAATCTATGTTGCCCTTGGTAGAGTGCTGTAGCGTCACAGCTCCCAGCAACCTCAAACTCTTGGGCTCAAGCCATTCTCTTGCCTCAGCCTCCTGAGTACCTGGGACTACAGGCACCCACCACAACGCCTGTCTATTTT